TTAAATACATGGTCTGTTCACTTCTGACTGGATAGTTCAGTTTGGAGTTCTTTAAAAGCTCTATGGCATACTTTACAAAGCTGTCTAATGGCTTTTTACTGAGAGTCACTTCTGTGTAGCTGGGGTACTATACTGTTGTCCTTCTGGAAGGTTTTCCTGTGAAGAGCATTTCTGTTAAAGTGATGTTTGAATCCATAACAGAGGAGTGTCCTGCTTTGTTGCTCAGCCAACCTTACCAATAGAGTTCTACAAAGAGTTCGTGTGTGTGTGTGTGTGTGTGTGTGTGTGTGTGTGTGTGTGTGTGTGTAAAACATGTTTTTGCTTAGTCATGGTGGGGTATGCAGCCTGAAGCGAGTGTATACCTTTGTAAATGTATCGCTCACTGCTTTTCTTTTTTCAGTCTAGAGGATGTGGCTGTTTTTAGCCCCTCTAACAGTTGTAGTGTTGACATTATCTGCCGGTCAGTCCATCTGTCTGTCCTTGGGTGAAGTTTGATCTGGAGGGAAGTGTGTCGGTAAAATGCTACACAAGGTGAACAAGTTTCATATTTATAGTTAAATCTTAGGTTCAGAGCCACTGTGTTTCTGGGAAGGTGATCTAGTGAATATGGATCTACTCTATGCTGTCTTCTGGGTGTACAGGTCGAAGGCATACACAATGAACGCACTTGAACAACAGATCATTAACTATAAATGCTTCAGATTTTGCTGTAGTCTTCTTTAGGATAAGAGCTCAAAAGTTTCATCGCTGTTTGCTTAATTTGGAACAGTAACTGCTGTAAGCGTCTCTGGCTTCTGATTGGTTCAGATGTTTTAACAAGCTGCCTGAACTTGTTAAATTTAGTTGAGGCTAATGAAGTCAGAGAGCACAGTAGCCTTACATGCTGCTTGCTATGTTTGAAGTCTTTTATTCTTCTGCCACATTTCTTATTTTGTAACAAAGACCTCCGAGCGCCTCAGAGTTGAGACTTTGACTCGTGGCTTGCCCACTTTGCATCGCCACAGGTCATTATGCCTTGATGTCAACTAAATGTTCTTGACTCACTGATGTAATCACTTCCTGTGTGTACTTCACTTCAGGCTTTAATTCCCATTTAAGAAATGGACCCACCCTCAAGTTGCTTAATAGCTGAATAGTCCCCCGTATATCGTTCCCTATAAGCTTCTATGGCAGTAAGAAACATAGTTTTAAATGGTTCTTTGTAGTATTATCACTTTGACTTTCAGATCAAACTATTAAGGAGAGGTCAAAAGTGACATATTTTAAGTCTTTATACAGTAGGGTTCTATATATCAATAATGCACACCAAATTGTAAGAATCATAGATTCTAGATTTTAAGGCATTTGATCAATTTTCAACCAATAAATCATTGAGTTGACCTTAGTGGATGGAAGCAAAATTTTAATGGTTTGTTAACATGACCCCACTCTACACCCCTACAAAGTTTTATCAGAATACATTCAAAACCTTTCTGAGCTAATGTGTTTACAGACAGACTGATAACACGCAAAGGTTCTACTGAGAAAAATAACCTCATTGATGAAGGTAAAAACAAAGAGTAAAACTCACAGCTATGTTTAACAGTCAGGGTAAAAGCATTTCCACACACAAAGTGTAACGCAAAATCAAGCGATTCTGACTAAATGGCTGTGTAGCTTTAAGAAAACCACGTATGACTGGGGGACCTTCAGTTTGCAAATTAGAATAGAGGTTGGACTCTAGAGCAATGGGCAAGGCCCAGGTGGTCTGAACTGGATTTGCCCTGATCCAGAGCAACAGGTATGACAGGGTAAGAAGATCGGTGGATGAAGTGATTCACTTATCTTGTTTGGTGCCTGCTGTAAAAGTCCGTGGGGGCAGTGTGGTGATCTGGGGTTGCTTCAGTTGGTCAGTTTCAGCAACATTGTGTGTCCAAAAGTAAAGACTGAATGACCAGGCTTTTCCATCAATGGCATATTTTCTTCTACATACTTAAAAATGGAAACAATTTATTTGGCTCAAATTGTAGAACAGTGGTTGAGGGAGCATGAGACATTGTTTGCCCTGGATTGGCCACAACAAAGTCTAGATGTTCAGGATGTGCTGGAGAACAGTTTAATCCCATCATCAATGGAAGCTCTTTACAAAAAAAGGAATGCAACTCTGGATGGAAATGAATGTTGTGGTGTTGCACAAGCTTATCAGAGCTAAAGATAGTCCAACAAAATGTGACTTTTGTTTTTGGTTGAGCTTTGTATTTGTCAGTATGTGCAGGTCACCTCAATGATGGTGTGCATTTTAGGACCTACAACAGCTTCCAGCAAACTTGACCAAGATAAACATGCTGGTGTAATTCAGTTTATCGAATAAGGACCTGTTGGATATAAGCAGAATTTAAACTCTTTTTTTTTTTTTGTTTGTTTGTTTGTTTTTAGCGGCACAGTCTGCCGTCTTGAGCCGAACTATCAGCAAAATATTGAAAAAAGAAAAACCAGATAAGAAGGTAAGTGTGACAGCTATGATTCATGTGTTTAATTTTCTATATGGTAAAGCTGCTTCTTAGGAAATACGTCTACTGAAAAACACACAAACTGATAATCTGTCCTTTTCTTGTTTATTTAGTATGATGGGTATACTTCATGTCCCTTGGTCACAAGCTACAACACAGTAATCCTGGCAGAGTTCGACTACAACGGACAACCGCTGGAAACGTTCCCCTTCAACCAAGCCAAGGAGAGGCGATTAATGTACCACATGAAAACAGATGTGATGCCTCACCTCTATTGGCATGGGCTTCTTAGGTATGTTTACAGTTAATTAACAGCAGTTAATTAGCAGCAGTTAAGCCGCTACAACAACAGCTTTGTCTTTATTTGTCTCACGACAGGGGGCTGTGGGGCGGACCGGGACCTTACAGGAAAATCATGCATCTTGGGATGAAATGAAACCTCATCTTCAGTTTGAATCTGAAAGGAAATTCATTGTGTAATCATCTACCCAAGGGTGCACACGCATATGGATAAAGGAGTAATGTGAATGTTTTGAACATCATGATTAATCGGTCTCACAGAAAAGCTCATTTAAGTAGCGTTTTTGATATTACTGTGGAATTAAACGACTGGAATGATGGAGTGGGTCTAAACTGCTCATAGATCAGCTGGGTTTTTTTTTGGTTTTGGGTTTTTTTTGGGGTTTTTTGTTGTTGGTTTTTTTTTTGTTGTTGTTTTGTTTTATTGGTACTTTTGACAGCCCAATGAATGGCCAGTCGAGATGCTTTCATAAGCCAGAGATGGGGCTTTTATAGGGACCGAGAACAAAAGTTTGTAGAACACTCTTACTCCACACCTCTGGTGTTTTGTTTTGTTGTTGTTTTGTTTTTTTCAGTTATAGTTGGTCGGCATTGGCAAAATTTATATAGTGACATTAAAAAACCAACTCTAAATTCAGATTATTTCAGGGTAGCCTTTAAGTACAGCATATAAATATTACTCTTTCCCAGATTGCTACATTTAAAACCGTGCACATGTGTACAGTTTAGTCATTGTGCGTGAGATGTGTTCAAGTCTTTGGCTTTATTTAGAGTTTTAAACTAATAAAGCTACCACACATTGTGTAGGATTTGCCATTTGGGGTGTTTGAACATTAACATGCAGGCTACAACAAGTGCTTTTTCTTGCATTTAGACGTCAGTGTCTGAAGTAGAGTTTTGTGCATGATGATTTTTATTTTTTTTTATTAGTTCTCAACTGAGGCGAAAACATCTTGGTGGCTGTACACTCAACGCTAGCTTCATTGTATTAAAAAAAAAAAAAATCCTATAATCATTAAAATGACTGAAGCTTATGAAACCTCACGTCAGACTGTTATTGCAGGATAATATGAAACAACAAATGAATTGTTTTGTTATTGCATTAATTATTACTTAATAAAATTACAGTATTGGACTTTAACGAGCAGCTTTGATTTGAAATGGTTAAATCTGAAAAGCGGTTTTCAGACACGGGAGGGAGGCCAAAATTTAATTGCACACTTGTGTAAAATTGCCCGTATGTCCTCTGAAATAAGAATATGATAGGCTCTCAGAGGAAGACCCTTTCGATAGCACTTTTGCATAATCTGAATCATCTGTTTTACCTGATCACTATCAATAGACTTTGATGTGTACTTGTATAAAAGTTGGATTTAATTTGCAAAATCCAGAGACCTGGGTCACTGGATTCAAACAGACTACTCTTTATTCTTCTCTCTGCTTATTAAAGGTCATCAGCAGGACTACACTTCTTATTGCAAACTGGCAGAATATGTCTTCAGTTCGTGATCACCTTTCCAGCAGCAGTTTAATGTCAACGTTAAAAACATCAATAAATGTCGGAAACCTGCAGGGATATTTAAATGACTGTCTCGGATTTCATGGATGTCCAGAGTTTGGTTAAATGCCAAGTTTAATTCACTTTCATTTTTTTTCCCCAACAAGAGATGATCTAAATTTGACTAAAAGCTGAGCCTGCTTTTAGTCAAATTATACAGTATAATGTGGAGAAGCTGCTTTTGTTTTGGGTTTTTGTTTTTTGCTTGCAAGATTTTTGAAAGTCTTAAAACGTCTGAACCATCCTGGCCACTGTCCTACAAAAAATGCCAATTTGCAGTCCAAACGTTCAGATTCGGCTTAATTAATACAGGATTCTTGCAGTCGCACAACAGCACCAGCAGGGATAAAATGTGACGGAGAGCCCGGGTCCAGCTGCGCACATACTAAAGCCATTTTCCTGTTGACTGCGCTCGCCACGTTGGTTCACCTACGTGTGTGTCACATTCTTCTGCGCACCGCAACGTTATGTTTGTGATGAGGCGGGAAATGGCGTCCGCAGACATGGTCGATCTGTGACTAGCTACTGAGCGACGGACACAGCTGGCGGCAACAACCACGGCCCGATCTTTGTCCGTGGCCGCCACGGTCGTGGCCGAGAGCTGACAACGCTGCGGGACGTTTGAAGAGCTTCCTAGATCATCGGTAAGCATCGAACAACGTCAACATGTAAACAAAAAGGCTTGTCCCCCCCGTGAAAGCCTGACTCCTGCTAGCTAGCAGCTAACGTTGGCTACCGAAGGGGGCGTAGTCTCAATTGCTAAAGATGGTTACAGGAGCGAACAAAATGACGCGTTAGCCACAGCGAAGTTTGCTATAATTACCTTTATTTCACTGAAGGATTAAAGAGTAATTTCCGTATTACCTATAGATATGCTGTCGGAAGACACACTAGAGGAGTTTTTTGAAGCGGAGGGAGTAATGTCACGAAATGGCTTTTGCTGCCTTTGGCGTTTTGTTAGCTTGCAAGCTAACTATAGTTTGGTTAACGTTAGCCACAGAACCCACTGGCAGACAGCGCCTGTTTTATGCTAGCATTAACAACAGTTCTGTTAAGCCTACAGTGTCAGTTCTGACTACGTAAAGTCGGCGGTGGGCCAAATAATGCGGGGCATCAGCGTCAGAGCGGTGTTGTCTGTGTAGTATTGATGCTAAATGTCAGCGGTTGGCTAACGTTAGCGGTAGCTGACGTCGTTGGCGTTAAGGCAGCCCGTCTGATGTTACATAACGTTAGACAGCGGTGCTGTTTGCTGTCAGATCTCATTCAGCAACAACTTAGCAAACATATATAAACACAAAGCCTATCCTCTAAGCAGCAGCTAACCTCGGATAACCCGAAAGCTTCATATTTTTGCTAACTTCTGCTGTTTACCACCCACTCCGCTGACCGGTCCGGCTTACACGAATTTTTTGTTTTCATAACTTTTCTTTCATTTATACCGGAGTAGAGTGGCCGTGACAGCTAAAAAAAAAGGCAAAGGTATGCGTTTCATCTGAACTAATTTGATGAGCTTCCTTAACAGTTACTCAATTGTCTGCACACATTTTGACTAGATTGGTGGTGAAGTGTCCATAAATCGTGGGTTTTCGTTGCACAGCTTTAGCACGCCAATAAAAACGCATTTGACTGTATCTGCGAAGGGAGACAGAATGAGGATGTGAAAACTGTAAACATAAATAAATACAACTTTAGGAACTTCTTTGCTATAGTAAACTAGAACCACACACAGTCATGTCAACATATGTGACCTGTATTTACACGTATTTCATAAAACAAGAATTTGCGTTGGAAACTGAGGGGAATTTAGAAGCTGCATCAGTGTTTTTCGTGCATTTAAAAAAAAAAACACAAAAAAAAAAACCCTGAAACACATTAAAGAGGTTTTTGGGTAGAGCTTAAAAAAGATGGTTAGCTTTGTGGTGTATTTTTATTTTTTTAGTATTATTTTGTTTAGAAAATAAGCAAGAAAGAACATAGATGAAGTAACTCAGTCTTAGCCCTTGCTGTACTTGCATAGTAACGCCCAAAGGCCAAATTTTTTTTTTTTTTTTTTTTTTTTTTTTTAGCCAGGAAAAACCCTGACACAGTTTGTCTGCCGAAGAGAGAAGTTGCTATATCCTGTTCAGCACAAGTCCTTGTCAGGATAAGAAATGTTTGCTTTGTGTTTATGTAAAAAGTCTTGTCTTGTATCATATTGGCTGGGCAGCAGATCTGAAAACCTATCAGGATTTTTAGGCACATGGTTGGAGAGGAACTTGTGCAATTTCCTGCTGTTTCTGACCTTTTGGTAAACAAAAGCCCTTTTGATACTCAAGTAAATTAAAACACCTTTTTTACAAATTAAAAAAACAATTAAAATAGTGATAATTTTTATGTTTTTATCACAGTCTAGGTTTTTTGAGGGGGTTTTCTTGGGGGGGGTAGAGTTTCATGTACTTAAGTGTAACTTGCATTTTTGGTCATAAGTAATGGGGACATGCACGATTCCTGTCAGAGCGGCAAAGCACACTTTTTTTTTTTTTTTTCCATTTATGGATGGATTGTGTTTACTGTTACAACACAAAGGATTGAGTGTCTACCCTTTGTGTTTGAAGTGCCGTGTCAAAACCGCTCAGTCGACTTAACTCCATCTTTTCCTTCCTTGTCAGATTTTTCTATGTGACGTTGGTACATGATGAAGCTGAGAGTGCGTAAAGCTCCTCAGCAGCCGAGCGTAGGCCATCAAACCCACCCGTCCCAGGCCAAAAGGAAACACTGTGAAGTGGAGCCATCGCCGGTGAGAGGTCGAGGCAAAATGCAGAAGAATGAGACAGGCCTGTTCTCCACTATCAAGAAATTCATTCGTGGAAATGCAGTCAAGGTAAGCATAGCTTTTTTTTGTTTTATGTGCTTCATTCTGTGCTTCATAGTACGGCGCAAGAACACACACAGCTACTTAAAAAAACAAACCAAAAAGCTGATAAAGGGAAGCTGTGTCACGCATGTAACTGTTAGTAGTGTTTTTAGACATCGAAACAGCAGGTTTACAATTATTTTAAGTCTGACTCAAATTACTGATGTCCACACAAAAGTTAGATATTTTTGTCTTAGACTGCTGAAACCTCCTATAGGCTTCAGTGGGTTCGTTAATTTTTTCCACGTTGTTTAGTTTTACAGTTTCCACATAGTGCTAGTTTGCTTGGTTTTTATTTGTTTTTTTTTAGTTTTCATTGTAAATTTTTGTTAATATAACACAGGTGATGAATGTCAGGGGCAAGATCTAAAAAGTTCAGAATAGGGATTATAATACAAGCACAGCGTTCATGCTATGCAGGCATGTCAGCCTTAATAAACACATACACTAATGCATCCTAAGGTGTATATTAGTTCTACACTGCCAGGTTTTCTTTGTGTCTGCTGGCTTAACAATACCTTAAACCCCAATCAGAGATAAACTTAAGCTTTCTGCTTGCACGCTCACGTAAAAGGGGCGGCGTTTGCCCACATCGTTTGACTCTTCTGCACAATAATGGTTCGATTTTGCACCACTCATTCCAATCAGAGACATTTTACTCTGTAAAAAAACATGAAAATATCACAGTAAAATGCAACACTGCTGCTTACAGGAATACAAGAAAATGCAATGCTGCAGAAAATCCCCAGATCTACTGAGTTCATGATGATTATTAGCATACTGTGGAGTAAAGTAAACATGTTAATATCTTTGCTGTTTTTTTATTTCCGACCAAGCAGCCACACATTAGAGCTTGAAACCTTTAAAATGCATCTATTAAAGCATCAGAGGTTACTCTGTGTGTTTGATTCTGACTCTGTCTCACAACCTAATAAATTAGACTTGGAAATCAGTTTAGTTTGCCACCAGATTAAAGTGAAATCAATTTTATTGATTGAATAGATATCCTGTTTGATAAACGGCCTAATAATGTAACCATAATCAGTTTTCTGGTCTGTGTTCTAGTAACTGAAGTTCCAGCAGTGTAAAACAGGTAGAACAGAATGTAAAAAAAAAAAAACATGTAGACATTTTCTGCATCACCAGCTGCATGCAAATGCAGTGACAATGTCACACATTCATTTCAAAGGAGGGCTTCATTTAGTGGTGTTGGGACAGTTTGACTTAACAAGTTGCATTGAGTTGAGTGTTCTCCTTTTGCCTGTCAGTCAAAGCACTTTGCACACTCTGTTTTTACCCCTCAGCCATAAAAAGGTCCATGGGGTTTTGTTGTCTCTCTACTTGGCAGACAAAACTCTGTGTGTGGCATGTGCTCACGCAGGTTTGTGAAAGTGATAACTTGATAATGTGCCATTCATACCATAGGTGCATCTACTATGTTTGAATTTCAGTGATCTCAACCTCAAGGTCAGAGGTCATTGGGAGTTTGATTTATAAGTGGATCTACTAGGAAGCTGAGGGGTAGCACTGGCAGCTGCCAGTATTGTTATCATTGTTATTTCCTTAGAGGGGTACTACAAAGCAAGTTTAGTGGGTTAGTGAGGTATGTCAGTGCACTGACTTTTAACAGATCGTCCTTCAGTTTTCTTCCATTTATTTGATTCATAGTGATGAGGCAGACTTGAGGCTATCGTAGAGGTCATGGGGTAGAGATGGAGTGTACTCTCGACAGGTTGCCTGTCTATTGCAGGGTTGACCCACACAACCATTGACAGTCACACTCAAGCCTGCAGCCAATTTGGAATCGCCATTTAACCTAACATGAATGTTTTTGGATTGTGGGGGGCTAGAGTACCCCGAGAGAGCCCACGCAGACACAGAAAAGGCCCCGGGCGGCCAGTGGATTCAAATCTAGAACCTTCTTGTTACGAGGTGGCAGTGCTAACCACTGAGCATCGTTCCGCCCCAGAACAGAAGTCACATTTTTAATCAAATGTCATCACATGCTTGTAAAACATCCACATTGAGAAATTAAAGATGCGCTTTCTGTGGTAATGTCATGGCAACTGCTTTCAGTGCTGCTAAATATATTTTGCATTGCAACATGTTAGCGATTTGCACACTGAAGAAGTTAAAGCTGTGGAAAAATGTAAATTATGTACATTTGTAACTGTGTGTGTCGTTTCTTTTTAGGTGGAGCAGGATATTCCTGCCAAGCGGAGTCGTATTGATTGTAATCCCGACGGTGATCTCATTACTTCAACACCACAGACTAGAGGCCTCTCTAATAAATCCGTATCCAGAGTTTGCCGGAAAAGTCCAAATAAAGGTATGACAGACCAGTCTATAGAAGCTGACCATAACAATTCACATATCTTGCATGTATATTCTGCAGTTTTATAGCTCTATCTTAAGAACCCTAAAAATTTTACAATAGTGTCAACAAACTAAAACCATGTCCTTTTTCCCCCTCCTTTTTTTTTTTTTTTTTCTTTTCTTCAAAAGACACCATGACCTGCCATAGTAAACCAATTAAACCAAATGGTAAACTGGAGGCCCCCGTCGACTCAACGAGCAGCCCACCACGCACCACCCTCCTTGGAACCATCTTCTCCCCAGTCTTCAACTTTTTCTCACCAGCAACTAAAACTGGTAAGAAAGTCCACAAGTATTCTGTAGCCGATCCACAGGTAATTTAGGCTGAATTAATAAATAATAAATAAATGATAACAAACAATCATGCTGAAATATCATAAACTGAATGGTTTTAGGTTTTTTTCTGAAGAACCAGCGATATATGACTGAAAGCCACATCTTATTTGTATTCCCTCTGTTAAGCCACTCCTGGCTCTGATTCTCCCGGCCAAGCCATGGAGGCAGAGGAAATCATGAAACAGCTGGACATCGAGCAGGCTGAAGAGATGCCGAGCAGCACTCTCACATCCACCCTCACATCCACCGAGGGCATCGCTCCGTGTCACACTGCTCCGATTTTACCACAGAGGCTCCACATTACCTCCGATACAACCATAGAAGAAGGAGAGATCGTCACTGAAACTGACATGCCCCCGTTAACAGGTACGACCACGCACGTTAGGCCTAATCCTCCTTGAATTTAAAACTTAATTCACATAAACAAGGACAACTTCACAGTAGAGGCTTGTTATTTCTCAGAATCATTGCATTTGAATTTCTCTTAAATCTTATGTGTCTCTGTCAGCTCCTGGGTGTATGCCAGATGGCAGCTATCCACACTCATTACCTGCAGTTCCAGCAGAACCCTCATACGATGAGGACTGGGAAGTTTTCGACCCGTAAGTTAATCAAATTTTTTTTTTTAAAAACAAACTCTAAATTTAATATAAATCCTTTCAGTGTTAATTAAGTAAACATTAATAGACTTGGTGCTAATAGAATAAGTGCTACATTGTTGTTAAATTTGAGCTTGCACTTTGGGCAGCAAATCCTGTCTTTGTTGAGTTTTGTGGTGTGATTCCACTTGAAATCACATTCAAGGTGACTTTGTATGCTGGTGTTGAGCTTGTTGTGAAACTTTCAGCCACCAGGTGGCAGCAAAACCACACTTTTAAGTCTGTGCATCGCTCTGCGTTTACTTCACTGGAGGATACTGTTTGCTCATCCCCGATTCCCCCAGTGAAGATTAAATATTCTCTTTGTTTTACTTTATTTTTTTTATCCAACATCTATAAAAGAAACAGTAAATGAGTTATATTACTTTCAAAGGTTCAACTGGGACATTTAAATACTTGTGATTTTTGACTGTTGATATATTTCCTTTTGGTTTCTTTAAATTCGAGGTACTTCTTCATTAAGCACGTGCCTCCGCTGACAGAAGAGCAGTTAACACGCAAACCGGCGCTGCCTTTAAAAACACGCAGCACACCAGAGTTTTCTCTTGTCCTTGATCTGGTAAGCAGCGAAATGTCCCTTATGCTTTCATCTCAAAATAAAATAAAAAAAGACTCAAATTAAAGACAACAATAAAATAAAAATAATTAGTTTTTTTTTCTTCTCTTGCTTCCAGGATGAAACTCTGGTTCATTGTAGTTTGAATGAGCTCGAAGATGCAGCTCTGACATTCCCCGTGCTTTTTCAAGATGTAATATACCAGGTACAGGTTCAGCATCATTCCTCAGGTTAAGAGACTCACTTTTTATGGCTGTTCCTAAACCTTCTGTCTCTTGATCTATTTTTTTTTTTTTTTTTAAACCTGCAGGTGTATGTTCGGTTGAGGCCCTTTTTCAGAGAGTTTCTCGAGCGCATGTCTCAGTTGTACGAGGTAAGAGGCATCTTTTGTTAGAGTGCATACGTTTGTTTAGTCTGGCCTCCTCTCAGATTCAGTATTAGTCATTTATTGCTATCCATTAAAATTTCAGATTATTCTCTTCACTGCTTCAAAGAAGGTCTATGCTGACAAGTTGCTCAACATCCTGGATCCGAAAAAACAGTTAGTAAGGTCAGTGGGAACGTGCATCCAAAGATGAACTCTGCCTGCTTTGTAAGATGTCTGGTAGCTGTAGAGTAAGAGAGGAAATGAACAGGATACAAACCTGTATTCATTCCATCAGAGTTCACCAGCTTTATTCTGTAGTCATCCTTAGGAGAAGATCCAAGATGAACATTTAAAATATCGCTCTTGACACAGGGAAAAAAAAAAAAAAAAAAGGAATTTCCTTGCTTTTTATACCAGGTGTATTATCCAGTATTCAAGTTCTTCGTGTTTCCTTTTCCAGTAAAACTAACAGCAGGTTTTCTTTACTGGAAAAGCCATAAAGCTCCTCCCCCTTCCTGATTGTGTTGATTTTGTAAACAAATCCTTTGAAGATTTGTGTTTGGACTTCTCAGCAAGCTCCGTTGTTGTTTAGAAGAGGTTCAGTTTATCAGGCAACCAGCTTGGTTGTGTGTCGCTCCTAAGCAGAGCCTATGCACAGCTCTGGAGAGTCATGAGGGGAAAAAATCAGTATTCCCCAACTAGTAAGGCTTCCAGCTGTTTCGTGTATCTGAACGGCAGCAAAACTTTGAGCTCCGATCTTTACATCCTCTAATTGCACCTACACCGCAGCTAAAGCCACCCTTTTATTAGCACTTGCTCCGACCCAGCCAGTCAGGATGCTGATTAAACAAGGACCTAAACCTAAAAAAGCCAGAAAGGATGTATCAGATGACGATGTTAGCAACGAACTCCAAACCGAGAAGATGGAAGAAGCTAGCGCCCAACAGACCAAGACTAGTGTTCTGGCCGCAATTGAGTTGCAAGTGATTATTGGGGTTGCTGGTAGTCGCTGGAAAAACAGTTGCTTAAGGTCCAGTCACACAGGTTTGCAGAGTGGTTAGTAACTCCCTGGCAACAACCTGTTGCTAGCATAAATGTGCATTCCCCAACTGATTGGCAAAACCCTCTTTGTGATTGCTTTGGCAGCTGCAGTTGTAGTTTGCATGGAAGTTATGGACCTCTCTACAAATGCTGTTCAGCAGCTCTGCTGGCTATAGTGAAGCTGTGAAAAGTGTAACACAAACCAGAAATTGAGATCATGTTGCCTTCAAAATAAAAGTTTGAAGGCAATGTTGCCTGTAGCACTGAGCCACAAATCATATTTTAAAGACTTTCTCCAATTCTAGTTAGTGTTGCACTTTTCACCATTTTGCTATTGCTGGATTTGCTTGGACTAAATCTCTTTTTTGCAAATATTATGTATCAAAATAGTGTCTTGTCAATCACGAGTTGTTAGCCAGTAAGCATGCAGTTTCCCAGTCATACCCACCTTGCATTGGTATTTTGGCAAACTGATGGTGGGTGTCATTCATTTATTTATTTATGATTAATATTTGAAGGTCATCACTTGCACATAAACATGCAGCTTATATCATTTTTCTCACTCATTCAAGCACAACCAGCATTACTGATTTGGTCCTCTCAGCGTGTCCAGTGTTTCATGAATATATTATTCTGAAAGCACCATTCACTCCCTTTTCATTGTTTCAAACAAACCAATCTGAAATGCCTGTCGGGACGCTTGCATTTGTTTTTTTGTTTTTTTTTGTTTTTTTTTCATGAAACATTTATTAATTTCTTTTCCTTCTGTCACCTTACCGCCAACCTCGGGACAAATGCACAGTGTAAATCATTTGACCCTTTGAATTTTTCTGTAAGCATCATTAACTTCACCAGAGCTCTTCTTCCTTTGGTGTTATTTTCTCGGAATAAATCTGTCATGCTGCATTTTTCTTTTTTGCTTTCTTTCTTTTAGACATAGACTATTTCGTGAGCACTGTGTGTGCGTTCAAGGAAATTACATTAAAGACCTAAACATTCTCGGGCGGGATCTTTCCAAAACTGTAATAATCGACAACTCACCCCAAGCCTTTGCTTATCAGGTAAAGTTCTTACACCAGAAATTATTTTATTATTAGTTGTTTTTTTGTTTTTTTTGTTTTTTAAATGAATGAATTCATTTTAAACTGCACTTTTATCTATGATTTTGTGTCACATTGATCTAAACACGCGTTTTTGTTTCTTTCAGCTTTCCAATGGAATCCCCATTGAGAGCTGGTTTGTGGATAGAAATGACAACGAGCTTCTAAAGCTTATTCCTTTCCTCGAGAAACTTGTGGAGCTGGTATGTACTTGGACTTGTAAATATTTGCATCTGTGCATTCACACCAGTGGAAAATAACCACAGCTGGCAGTCTGCTGTCACTGTTCCACCCACTCTTCACCACACGCAGAGTTAGCTGTGTAATAAACTTACCAGTTTTATATTTAGTGTTGCTAATAGAGAACATATAAACAAATATGTGTAAATTATTTAAACAAACCAGTTAAGTTTCTTACTTTGCTACTGATTCATTTAACTGAGTTTCAGTCTGTATATCTGCATTGGTTCATGGTTTGAAAGCCACTGCACTGTACCAACAAAATGCTGCGTATGGCTGCTGAAATCGCAAATTTTGATTGGCTAGAAAGCTGTAGTCTAACTCTTGGTTAGATAACAGCTGTCAGTCAGCTGTCAATGGCTTAATTTGGTGCCAGGTTTAGTTTTGTGACCAATGCATTTAACCACAAAAAAGGGAAGTGTCAACTCAGTCAACAACGCTCACATTGTAAGTGTATAAACCCAGTCAGCAAAGAGAAGGTGGTCTGAGAGGAAGTGCAACCAAAAAAGAGCAGAAAGTAAAATGGTGCAGAGAAGTTTTAGGTAATGTGAGTAAAGCAGAGGAAGACGGGCGTGAGAGGCAAACATTGCTATTAACACAGCACTGTGTAACATTAACTCTGCTGGATTGACATGCTCAGTAATATCATGATTAGAGCTGGGCAATAAAACGATAACATTATCATGCAAAAGGTTTACTCAATAGTGATATCAAACATGGTCGGTATAAAATCGATAGAGCTCACTCCATCCATGTTTTGACGGACAATACAAAAGGCCATTGACAATAAGTAGTGCCAAGACAGTCATGTGGGTAGAATAACATCAAAGCCACACAGGTTGGGTTGACGTACACGGGGTAGGAGAGACAGCCGGCAGCAGCACATGAGCTTATATTTGGGCTGCTACACGCATTGCGCTAAAAGCTCAGGCAAGGTAAAAGACGACATGGCAACAGAAAATGAAAACTCAGAGCAGAGTAGCGTGCGCTCCAACACTGCAAACTGTGTTGAAAGCAGGTTTCCACAAAGGCCAGGGGACAAGGCATGATGCCAGTAAGCAGAGTCGAAAATGTCAGATTTAAGAAGCTGATTAGAGAAACTGAGCCTGTTACCAACTTCGTGGCTATAAACGTTTCTCTCAGACGACTTTATCCTGCTACATGTGGAGAGAAGAGGGAGAGATGAACAGCTTTTTACTACCACAGCGGATTAGTGGTGGAACGAGTCACACATCTGATCCATGACTGAGGTCTAAGGAGCTTGGAAAGAAAAAAGTGTCTGGACTTCTTTAAGTTGCTTGAAGCCGTTTCACCTAGCCCCACCTTATCCTGTAATTTACTGAGGTCAGATGGCCCAGGCTGTGAGTGGGCATTAAAGCGTCTGGCGTCTCATTAGGGGGTCCATTGTGCCTCTTCAGGGGGACACTCCCACAGGGCTTAAATCTGGGACTCTCCACCATTTGACCCTAGAACTGAAGAAGCTTCTTGGATGAGAGGTGAAACGTCTTCAAGCAACTTAAAGAACTTCAGACGCTTTTTTCTTTCCAAGCTCCTTAGACTACAATGACCTGGATGACTGAGAAGCTTCACAGACATCCATGACTGAGACTCCCATTGATACAAAAGTAGAACACAATTGAGTGTTAGTTTTGCTTATGTTCTCCTTTTATGTATATTTGAAAGTTTTTAAAAATTTGTACTGATATGTTTAGTATTTTCTGTTTGTGGAGTTAAAATGCTTTACCTCTATACTGTATTTATTAAATTTTTTGTTGTAATAGCTGCTTTATTTTTTTGGACCTGACCAAAGAATTTAGTGTTGCAGTTTGTTTTTGTTCTTCTGTAACACTTGAAGGTTTTTCCTTGTCAGAAAACCCATGTCACATATTTAAAATACAATTGCACAATGTAGCAGCGCATTTATCATGTTCAACGGCTCAACCGTAAATTTTAACATCTCATTTTGGTGTAAAAGGGAACCTTTGAACTTTACGGAAGTAGGGATTTTAATTTTAACGTGATATCAGTATCAACTGAAAATGTTAGCAGCCCAGCTCTAAACACATTGCATTTAGTGAAAGTTTCTTTGCTTGTTTCTCGTGCAGAGAAGAAGACATCCTGAATGTGTGATCAAAATGAAATTTTAATAATTTACAGTTTTTAAATCAGTCTCACCTTGTCTGTCTCGTCCCAGAATGAAGACGTCAGACCGCACATCCGAGAGCGGTTTCGTTTGCACGACCTCCTCCCTCCAGACTGAGGTGCTAATGTTCATTTACAAGATCGCAGTGGAAGAAGGAAAAAAAACAAACGGACTCATAGAAGGATGTCTTCAGTGGATTCAGCTCTGAATGGCAGTGTTACATACACAACATTGCCATTATTATAATTTTTTTTAAGTCGTACAAAAAAAAAGAAAAAATGACGAGTGAGGACTAAACACCAGAAGCTATGACGAACCAGTTTGAGTTGTAACACACACACACACACACACACACACACACACACACACACACAGTGAAGGCAGACTCAGAGCAGAGGTTTCTTAGCTCACTTGTTTTCAGTGCGACCTTGCAGACGGCCTCCTGGAAGGTATTTTGTCATTTGACAAAACTGAATGTCACAGTGTTGGATTACAAGGACATTGTTGGTTTCCTCCTGACCTCCAGTGGCCAGTCAAACCTGTAAAATATTCACTCTATTTGCCTGTAAATATATGTACATAATTGTTTTGTTTTTTTGTTTGTTTGTTTTTCTCTTGAGGTTTTTAAGTCCTTTTAGTTTCACTTCAGATTTTAGTATGTTCTCTGACTCGGTTGCTTTTTTCTTTTTTAACTGATAAAATGTTGTTTTGTTTGAACTTGTTGATAAGCAGCTGCTTTTCTGTTGTATGCCTGCATAATTCCTGTGATGCTTTACTCCATTACATGCAGTCGTCTCTTATAAGGTGCAGTTTAAAAAAAAAAAAGAAGAAGAAGAAGAAGAAAAGAAATGAGTGTCTTTGGGAGGAAAAATGTTTCTGAAATATTTTAAAGCTATGAAATGTAAGATAGACTAGGGTCTCAAATGAATACCAACCCATAATGGCAGAATCTTAATTTTGGAGATTTTTATTTAAGAGTCCGCTTCTGGTTGCGACATTTTGATCGTCCTCTTTGACAGGAGGGGTGGGTGGGAGGGTGGGGTTCAGGCATCTTGCACTTTGACATCCAGCCCTTTGTAAGTTGATGTAAACTCTTGTCACTTTTCTACACAGGTGTGTATCGCCTAAATTTGTTATGTGGGGGAAAAATGAAATTGTAGCACCAGCAAATTGCCAACATGTTTGCTTTGAATCTTCTTTTCCAAGACGTCTTGTATGTGGGATCTTTGATGTGGGAGTCACGAGTTTTATTGACTTATTGAATGATCACTCCTGGTGTATTCAGTGTTACTCAATGGTTTCCTTGAAAATAAATACATTTTTATACGACACAAGGCTTCCTAGCAGTAACTGAGATTTTAGTTTGTTCAGCAACACTTTTTTAAAGATTTATTTTTAAAGTGAAGACAGCTTGCAGGATTATGCAAATTGATACAGAGGTGGACGAGTGAATGTGGAGATGCTCCTCTGGGATCAGTGCAACAGGAAAGAGGAGCAAGAGTTCTTTGGTTTGCTTTTTCTGATCAAAGCATCATTTTGATACTTAAAACTGTCTTTTTTTTTTTTTTTTTTCTTTTTTTTTTTAATTTAAACTTTATTTTGTTTCCTAGACCTCATCAGATGACATAACCTTCAATGTTTTTGAAGGTTATGGGGACTAGACGGGGCATATTTATCCTATATGGGCTTCTCTCCTTTGGCTATGTCAACGACTAAGCAGTAGGACATGAGGACTAATGTGTAAAAAGATTTAATTGAATAATTAAAATTAAGTGAGAGAAATAGCAGCTAACGTTAGCTAGCTGGCGTAAAGAGGAAGAATAAAATTATTAGTATTATTAAAAATAATAAACCTGTGGTTCTCTTTCACTTTTGTCCTGTCTTCCTCCCCTCGTCCCCAACTGGTCTCTCAGATGGCCACCCCTCCCCGATCCTGGTTCTGCCAGAGGTTTCTTCTTGTTAGAAGGGATTTTTTTTTCCTTCCCAATGTCTCCAAATGCTTGCTCATAGGGGGGTCATCTGATTGCTGGGGTTTTATCTGCATTACTGTAGGGTCTTTACCTTCCTTTTGTAATGCACCTTGTGTGCATTATGTCTAGCCTCTTCATATTTTTTTAAATTGTAGTTTTATCTTCCTTTGTTAAATTGTTTCTCTGCACTCAGTAAACCTGGACGTGTTTCCAATTCGCTATGTTTCTCGTTTGTGGACCATCATACTAACAGTTCGTATGGATCCAAATGAACATAGAGCATATTAAGAGCCAAAGCTAAAGAAATCCTTTTCTGTCCTCCGGGATTTTACACAGAACATTTCCTCAAAGTAAAGTCATTAAATATCTCTTGTGGCTGGGGTTACTGTGGGCCTTTTTTTCATTCAAAAATTGAATAAAAAGTAATGCAAAACGGGTTTAATATCCAAAGCGGCTAATTTTAATATGTTAACTGCAGCATAAACTACAATAACACAAAACAATTTACCTTTTTGTGACTTGCCGAGGACTAAGTATGTTTCTGCAGCAGTTTGTCCTACTTTTAAGCAGATGTTTCCCTCTTCAAAAGGAAAGAAATGACATACAGCAGCTGCAATGTCAACTGACAGACACCCAGTGAGTGCGGCCATATTTTACTGGCATACACACAACCTGCGAGATTTTTCATTCAGCTAAGAACCTTGTGAGGCGTCCGGATGAGATAACCTGCTGATGTGTTAAACCTTTTGTTCTTTTGGGAAATGGGACATTATCTGATTACAGGTGCACACCGAATTGCCCCTTTCAGAGGTCATGTGACTCCGAATTCACCTTCATCCGAGTTTATCTAACAATGTTCGGACGGAAGACTTGTTTCAAAACAAAATCGCACTGTTGATAGCGTGGAGATAAGACGTGGGGATAATTAACCGTATATTTTAGACTAAATCCATCCATCTATTGGCTGGTGGTGGTGGGAGGAGGTTGTGGCTCATAAACTACGAAGCATGTGGTGTGACAATGCCGGGGTGCCCGGGGATATAAAAGGTGCAGACAGGCGCTCTCCCCTCAGGATAACGTCAGGTCTATCAACGATGCGGATGCTGCTATTTCTCAGTGCGCTGTTGGGGGTGTTCGGGTTGGAGAAAGCGTCCCCCGTGGACACCCAGCAACTTCGGGCCCTTCAGTGCCCGCCCTGCGAGCGGATACACTGCTCTTCCCGGCGGGCGCTGAAGCTCCAGTGTAAAGGGGGCGTGACGACGGGTGTCTGCGGATGCTGCCCCGTGTGCGCCAAGACGGAGGGGGAGACCTGCGGGGGGACGTGGGACTACCTGGGGAAGTGCGACGAGGGGCTGGTGTGCGTTTTTCAGGACTCAGCAGCTGCCAAACCAGACGCAGAACGCAAAGGGATCTGCAAAGCAGGTGAGATTGTAACCATTACTCTAAAATGATGACAAGCAGCCACTGCGCATCAGATCCACGGGTGATGCTTTAATCACTCGTGAAATGCAATAGTGGGGAAATGAAAAGTTTTACAGCAGCACAAAAAAGTTATCGAGTTGTTCTGATTTACTCACATGTACAGAAACCATCGTGCTAATTAAAAGAAGGCTCTGTAAGCAAGAATGCAATATTTAACTCTTCTGGAAATAAAGTTGGCGGGAACTACAAAGGCGCTAAAATCTTCTCTAAACGCGTAAAAATGCACTTGGTGAGATTCTTTGACTGTAAGTCTGTGTAGTGGGAATGGTGCTGGTGCGGTAAAATCTGGTTTATGAGCTGTGAAGACTGATAGTGTGGTCAAGGCTTCCTTTGAATCAAAGGTTCCTCAGCCATAATTACTCATCTTATCTGTCCCCGATGAATAGAAGTGTCACCGTTATCAATACGATATCAGACCTTTTACACTGTTCCTGTCTTTTTTTAAAGTCTGACTCCACAATGCGGGACTCTCATTCGTAATTTCTTTAAATCTGTGCAGTGATTGAACAGCTGGATGCAGAGAGCTGCCAACCAGAGTGCACCAAGGAGTACTGCCAGGCCAATCCCTCTGCAATCTGCTCTGCCAGGTGAGCCCCCTCTCCATCCTCTTAATGCCACGTTGTTTTTGTTGTTTTTAGCAATAATCAGAATTTCCTCGTCTGTAGGTCTACATCTCTGCAGAATAAAGAGTGCCAGGGCTCCTGCCAGCACACGTCCTGCTCCAGCTGTCTGCTGCTGAAGCGTCCATCGTGCTCTCAGACCTGCGCCCCGTCCGATTCCACCTGTCTGCAACACTTTGGGAAATGTGTGCACAATCACCTGACTGCACCTCACAGTCCCATATGCCACAACAGCCTCCAGGTAAGGAAAAACAATAATAATAAAAACCAAACTTCTCCCTGTTTTTTCTTTTTTTCTTCATTGCGCTCTGAATCCAACACGGTCTTTTTTTCTCTTTGCAGAGTAACTGCGAGGGGCATTTTGTGTGCTTGATCCCGGACTGTCCGAGCTCATCCAGCTAAGAAGAAACCAAGAGGAACACTTGTAGCAAAATGTGAAGAAAGGCAGCTATGTTTAAACCCTGTGAATATCTCAAAACTACTTAATCAACAATTACTTTTCGCCCCCTGCAATTTAAATCAAGATTAAAACCTTCTACTTTTTTAAATTCTATACCATCATGTATTGACTTTGCTCTATTTATTTATGGGGATTACCAGGCTGGATCTGCACTACTCTAGCTGTTAATTAATGCTGTCCAGTGATGTGCATTGCTTTATATGACGTTAGACAGTTGGCATAATCACTGTTTGTTTTTACGTGTTTTCTTGTATCTTATATGAACTTGTGTGTCACCATAAGTGTTTAATTCATGTACCACAACATGAAAACCTACCTGCTAAGTAAACATATGTCAGATTCTCTCTGTCACCTGTGTGTCAATTATTTAATTAGATCTCAAATTACTGGATATCATTACCAGTGAATGAATATTCTAATCCATATTCTTACAGTTTCAGCTATAAAATACAAATGCAGTAAACACATTATTTATAAAACACAAACTAACACAATACTTTACAAACAACCTGCAGTTTTTGGCCAGACCAGTAAATCCACTGCATAAAAAGAGCCCACAAACATGTGATAGATCTGTATCAGTCAGTCTACTGCCATAAAATATACTGACCAGCCACTTTATTAGGTACACTATACTAATACTGCTTTGGACCCACTTTTAGTTAATACCAATTTAATTCTTTATAGCACAGATTTGACAAGATGCTGCAATTATTCCTGAACTCATTGTCATGCTCTTAAGCAGTTTGAGATGATGTGAGGTTTCTGAAATGGAGCTTTATTATGTTGGAAAGAGCCATCAGGAGATTGGTGCACTGTGATTATAAAGGGATGGACATAAGCAGCAGGAGTACCTGGTACGCTATGGCATTTAAAAATGCTCAAAGTGTGCTGAGAAAACATCAAATCACCACCAGCTTCAACTGTTGATCCAACTCAGGATGGATTCATGATTCATTTGTGAGGTTTATGCCAAATTTTGACCCCACCATATGAGCGCTGAAATACTCAGCAAATTCACTTCCTCCTTCTAACGCTTGATTTGAACTTCAGCAGGTCATCTTGACCAAGCAGGGTAAAGACAACCTGCTCCATGTGGTTGGTGTCATGTGATTGGCTGATTAGATATTGGTGTTAACGAGCAGCTGAACAAGTATACCTAATGAAGTAGGCAATGAATGTACATTGCAATCAACAGATAAAAGCAAAAATAACAACAAAAAGAGATTTTACTTCTTTATCAAACAAGTTTCTGAGGTGTTTGAATGCTTTCCACACCTTTTCACTTGTGTGTAGCAATGCTTGCAGCAAGGCATCATGTATAGCAAAACATTTTATATAAGACATCATTATTTTCCTGCTTTGCAAAACCATCCAGTGGACTGTGTTGAACGTTTAAATCACGCTTAAAAACTCGCCTGTTCCATCTAGCTTTTGAAGCAAATTAGTTTGGACTTCCACCTGGTCTGCATTTGTGCTATGTAACTGTAACTGTAACTATAATTGTTTTAACTGTTTTTGTTGCTTTTTGTTGTAATCTGCTTGGCTACCTTGTAGGAAGCACTTTGATGGACACTGACCTTTTTAAATGTGCTATAGAAATAAAAATATTGATTGATTGATTGTACTCTCTGACAGGTCTGCTCTGGCCTCAATCTGTAAGTGAGGGTTTTGGCGTTTTGGAGCAAATGTTGGCAAAGATAACAAACATCATACCTGACTGCAGACCTGCCTCAAGTTCAGTCCTGCACAATACACGTCTTTTACAGGGAAATATTAAATTGTGAAAGCATGAATTTTTTTTATGAAGAAAACAAAGTGTGAGGCACAAACATTTAGTGGAATAATACAGATTCCCTCTCTTCTGATTGCTTCTCATTTTGGGAGTTTTTTCCTGATAAACAAGTTGAGCTCCCTCTACGGCTGCCGCCCCCCTCACAGTTGATGGTTATTGAATAACAGACAGTTTATGAGGCAGCAATAATGAAGCCTGTACATAAAGGGAATAAAGTGTGGACCAACAATGGGCAGTTTGTTCTGTGGCCTTCAAATGTGAGCCATTTCTGATGAACAGAAGCAGTTTATCTGAAGGATTTCGCAAGACGGGAATGGTTTTTAAACCAAAACAATGGCCTGCAATGTCTTTCATCTTCTTTCAAACTTGTTAGTAAGCTGCATCCGTGACGTAACGAGACATCGGAATAATATCTGATGTTTAATTAAAGTACAGAGATTTGTGCAGCATAACAAGTACACCTGAGGAAACGAAAACTAAGACTGAAAGCACTGTGCCATCGGTTATTTATGAGTAAATGAAATTATTTATTGACACAAAGTGTTCTCCTGGTTGTCTTCATTTCTTAATGAGAACCCCGATTTAAGCTAAAGTCTTGCTTTACATCGTTGCTCCACAAAACCAAACAAAAAAATTCTCTTTTGCGCGTTTCTCGGGCTGTTAATACACACACATCAGCGCATCGGGTATCTATTAGGAAAACAGGATCGGTCACCAAAGCAGGCCGCCTGTGTTATCAAACCCATATATCACTCTCACTTTTTTCTTACTGATAAAGTACCACAGTTAAAAGAGGACTGTCTGTGTGCCAGCAGTAATAAATTTGCCCCTGTTAGAGGTAACCCATGTTTGAATGCAACACGAAAAGCTGAGAACAATAGAAACGACGCACTGTTCGAAAGAGGTGCCTCGCTCTGTAAACACTGTTTACATTAGAGATGTTAGTATTTCAAATTCATTTTAACCTGATGCTTTAACACTTTTTTTATGCTGTATGGAAAAAAAAAAGCATGTGCACTGTGAAAGATTTTGAGCCACCCCTCACTTTTTTATATTTTGTTATCAATATGGGACATAAGTGCAATCATTTATCAAAATGTGCAAAAATACATAGACGTACAGCACCAAGACACAGGGAATAAAAGTCATTATTTCTTGGGCCACCTTTATAGTTAGCTCAGTCCATGACTGATAGTGCTTTATTGTACGTTTTTCTATCCAGGTGCGCTGTTACTGCAGTGGCACTGCGTTTGTGATCGATGTCATGCTGAAGAAATGAGACACACTCCAGATGGTGGATCAAATCTGGTTTCAATTTAGAAATTTTAACAAGACCTCCAACAACACTGGCTGAAATGCAGCCGTGACAGAGCCGCTGCCGTGTCTTACAGATAGCTGAAACTCACGGTTGTACCTTTCTACTGACCTCCATACATACTGACAATGATTTGAACCAAGCCGCTGATTTTCAGTCCACCTCTTGTGTAATTTAACGTCCCCATTTTCCTTCCTTCAGAATGGCCTCATGACAGCCAACCTTCCACTGAGAGTATTTCTGATCAGGCTTCAATGAACAGTAGATGGATCAGCTGAAGGGCCAGTTGCATCTCTCAGATCCTGTGTCTGGTCTTTGCTGGAATTGTTTCATATTTCTTAAGGACATGACTCTCAGATACTGTTCATCTGCATTAGAGGGTTTGTTTGTTTGTTTTTTAGGTCTGCCACTTCTTCTTTTGTCATCCACATCTCCAGTTTCCTCAAATTTTTAAGAACATATATCGAAAGATTCCAAGTTTTTAGCTACTGTAGACATGAAACTGTCATTCCACGAGTTAGGTACCTTTTTTTTATGTTTTGATGATTCAGAGATCAGTGGTTTTAGATGACAACCCTGAATATCTACTGATCCATACTACAACGCCGCAGTCCCCAAAACCGAATGTACACATTAAAATAAAAACCACTATATTTGATCTACACTTAAAAACAAAAGATTTAAAAACATCCCAATTTATTAATTTCCAAAATACAGACAATGACAATCTTAAGAATTTAAAAGTGGAATTTCAGTTTATCATTAAGGCCAGAAAAACTGATTAGTGATAATAATGGCTCAGTTAACGAGGAGTTCGCTGCACATCAAACCAGAGAGAGAAAACCAAAACACACTGATTATTTAAACAGGATGATCTCCATCGTTGTGTCCTCGGAGGACTGAAACAACACAGTAACAGAGATTAACTATAAAACTGATTATTTACTGAATCATTCAAACTCAAGGAGCAACACTGCAATTGTCTTAAAATCAACAAAGATCTTCATACAGATTTCATTAAAATCAATATATAACAAGATTCCCATCTGAAACGATATGTTATCTTGCATTTACAGTAATGATGACTATATTACATTACATATTGCAAACAAAGCAAAGAACTATAAGAGAAAACAGTAGAAAGGTGCATAAAACTCTTCTTCTCATGCCTTCAGCCAACATCTTGGCAGGAAGGCACTGTGGATTAGAAACATCCATGCCATGTGTCCTGTTGTCGTTTCACCTGAATAGTCTGTTCCAAAAGGATACAAAGGTGTTGGAGTTTAAGGCACCGATGAATACGAGCAGCAGAAGGTAGAGACTCATCATGATGGCAAAATGGTGTCTGAGGAGCCACGAGCGGCTGCGGGAATGTCTGAGGAAGAAAAACAGAAAAGCACGGTGACCATCAGCACAGAAGAGCGAGCTATCAAACCTCGGGATGAAAACAAGTAAACATTTTCATTTTCTTTCATGCTATTGATTATTTATCTGTCAGTTCTCTTAACCACTCATTAAATGAGGGTCACAGCGGAGCTGGAGCCAATCTGACATTGGGCAAGAGGTAAAGTACACCTTGGATCTGGACCCTGTTTTATTTTATTTTATTTTATTTCAAGTGGCTACTCGCGTCCATCCAGCTCTGGGTTTAAGAAGAGATGCCTACACTACTCCTGGTCCAGCCACCTCCTCTAGCTCTGTGGCATTCCCAAGAAAGCCAATAGAAAAAATACTGCCAGAATGTCCTGGGTCCATCCTGGGTAGACATGCCTGAAACACCTCACATAGGAGGCACCCAGGAAGCATCCACCACATCAACTGGAGGAGTAGCAGCTCTACACTGAAGTTCACTCTAAGGCCAAGCCCAGATACTCTTCAAAGGAAAGTTGTCTCTACTCAACACTATACTCTCTTTTATTTAATCTGAATTAGTAAATGAATGAGTAAAATAGATAAAAACAAGTTTAAAAAATTGTATTCTGCTTCTCTTCTTTGCTCTTAGTGGGCTGTAATCAGATTACTGAGACTGCGTGCTGGAGGACATTCAAATAAATGTGACCTTTCCACAACTTTCACATTGAATTTCTGATTTGTCAGCCAATCCTGTTCTGTATGAAAGCATTTTTAGGTCTAATGTTGCCTATTCACCAGTACACAAAAGCAAAATGCATCATTTGTCCCAGAAAAGTCTTACCTGGACAGGTGCCTCTGCTGAGAGTAAACAAGCAGGTACTTGACTCGTAAAAGCTGATTATTGGTGACTACAAAGTATTTATGTGGTACATCCCCTCCTTCACTGTTCTTTGCCCTCGAGCGCTGGCGGTCTACAACTTCAGAATCTGAAATGATAAATGAGCGGAAGGCTTTAATAGGTTCTGATTTAAAGAGCAATAAGCAGGTAGAACATTCCTGGAAAGATTTATGCAGTTACTGAGTGTTTTGAGAGGCATAAAGGTCCGAAATAAATTCAAGACAAAGTGTAGGCCACTTTTTTTTACCCACAACGTGTCATATTACATCATATAAGAGCATTATCGCTACCATGAGTACTCTCTGCAGTACTTTGTGACTCCCTGAATTGGTATTTTTGGTGGTGGTGGTGGTGGTGGTGGTGG